ATCTTGGACAATGTCTGATGATCGACTCTTTTAAATGAAACCAGAGAGCGTTGACAGAGAGGAGAAGGTAGAAATGACTCAGCCTGTAACTGAAAACATGGATGGAGGGCAACAGAGCTGCTTCATGGAAGAAGAAACAGCTTAGCCTGTACTATTACGACGCACAGCTAAATGTGGATGTATAAATTAGTCAGTAATCCCAGCGTTTTGTGACATTTTGAACTATGTGAAAAGACTAAAAAACTGAGTCATTCTGTCGGCGCCATTTTGTTTTAGTTTTATGCTTATTTCAAGCTATGTTTTAGTTATTTGCGCGCCGTTTGATGGCCTGACATTGTGTTTTACTGTTTTTTATGCCGTTGGCAGTGAGAAATGTGTGTTTACTGGTTTTAAAAATACATCTTAAGAATGTTAAAAAAATACAGCTAAGCCTATCAGTATGCATGTGTTAGTTCCATGCAATCTGTGACCTGTTAAACTAAACAGTTGTGTACCTAATTACTGGTGTATGTTAAAAACAGTCCAGCTGCGAGTATAAAAATATATTTTGGTTAAAAGCAGAATAAAAGTGTATTTTTGGTTAAAAGCAGAATAAATAGGTAAAATGTATTTAAAAACAAGTAATTCAAATATGTAAATTGTGTCATGTTAAAAGGTAACTGCATTGATATTGTTGGTTTGAAGTTCACTGTACATGAAGGAAACATGTTTCATATACACATACAGTATGTTTGTTTTACATATAAAGACAAGTTAAAATGCTGCAGTTTGAAAATACATGTGACTGTATTAATAAATACATCAGAAGCGAGGCATTGAGAAACTTCATAAATCGCCTGTCTCATAATTTTCCTGTTTTTACAGGAACATTTAATCTGCACAACAGGCTCAGATCCTGGGTCTGTTACAATTGCGTCAGCGCTAGCACATAAGCTAACAGGCTAAACTGAGGTTATTCTTCCATGAAGCAGCTCTGTTGTCCTCCATCCATATTTTCAGTTAGCTGAGTCATTTCTACCTTCTCCTCTCTGTCAACGCTCTCTGGTTTCATTAAATAGAGCCAATCGTCACCTTCACGGTGGATATAGCTTGCTCACACCGATGACCTATCCACGTCATCATTTACCCACAATGCTTTGCGTGTAACTAAAATGGCTCCGTCCTTGTTGAAATATATTATTAAAATTTTGCAAAACTAAACAGCCTACAGTATTTTTACAGTCTTTATTTTACAGTTAAAATAAATGTTTATCAAATAAAGTCTAATGTTACAACCAATCAGGGATCCCTTTAAAGAATGCATTGCTTTCAATCTGCTTAAGACAACAGTGGCACTAAGCCACAAACGCACAGGTCATCTTATCTGATATTACCAACCTTTAAAAACTGTTACGGCCAGAGGTCTTTCTTCTATGTTTATACTAAAGCATGGAATGACATTCCTCAAAACATAAAGTCCATTTCAAAACTACGGCCCTTTAAGAAGAATCTTGTCTGCCATCTGCTGGACACTTTCTGTTGTKMWMATATTTAGACGTCCTATTTTGCAAATGCTGCCTTCCTGAAATTTGGTATGCTTGTTTGTCTTTGTGTCAATGGTGTATAATGATGTGATTGTGATGCTGTAATTCTGAGTGTTTTATGTGCTGCAGAACAGGAACCTGCTGTAAAACAGCAATTATGCTGAGTCAGGCTTGATTTTTAATAATCTTTTCTTGTTAAATAAATAAATCAAAAATCAAATCAATCTATAAGATGTATTTTTCTGCATAAGGTGCAACATCTTCAAGGTCTATCGACCCTCTCTGACTCATGCAGCTCACCATAAACAGCAGAACTAGTCCTCTTTGTTCAGAATTACAAAAAAAAAGTAAACATTCACCTTTCAGAGACTGATTGTGTCAAATTCTAAAATCCCATTTGTTTTTAACTCCAAGCAATCAAAGGTCATGCCTGAAATACAAATAAAAAAATCTGTTGGACTCAAAACAAAAGTGTTGATGCAGGTCTGCTGGTATTAGCTTCATCATGAAATAATGTGGCCCATAAAGAAAACGAATGTGTACTTAAGATGTCAGAGTTTCCCTCGAGCTTCTCCCTCATGGAGATAAGCTGCTGCCTCTTGGTGGATTTGTATAAGTTTAGGATTCCTTTCTGCTCCGTCTGGTTTACAGTTGACTGTTAGGAAGTAAAAACACAAAATGTAGATTTGGACCTGTGAGGCGCTGAGACAAAATGATCTGCGTAATGGAATATTTAAAGATGGGTTTTGATGAACAATATCAAAAAGGTGACTTTATAGTAACCCCTTCATTATGTTTTATTTATTAAGTAGTCTTGAAACAACATCGGAATGCAAACTTTGTTAATCAAAAGAGTTTATTATTTACAAATTCTCCATTTTTTTAACCATTTAAAAGTGTAAAAAAGGCAGTGTTAAACAAGTAAAGGATAAAAATAACCCATCTCCAAAAATACACCATAAGGACAAAAAAGGAGATAAAACTCTGAGGGCAAAACTATTTGGTGAGATGAGACAGGATTATTTTTTAGAAATCCTGACTTTCGCCCCTCACTGTAAACACTGTGCTGATTTATGATTGTTTTATCTTCTTTTTCTTTTTTTGACTATAATTCTGCAAGGCAGTGCTGAAATATAACTCTGGAGATGACTTTCTCTTCTCTCCCAAATATGTCAGAGTATTTTTCCCACAGTTTGAAAAAAAAAAAACTTCACAACCTTTACCCTTGTCTGACTGGAGATGATTTGTATGTAACCTTCTTGAAAATTTCAAAATAAAACCCAACCTTTAAAACGTAAACTTTTCTGAGCCTGCATGATGAATGAAGAAAACAATGAGAACAGTTTTTGGAGAAATGGCATGTTAGGTTAACTTTTTTTAAAACTTTTGTCAGCTGGTTAAAAATAAGAATATGAGATTTTGTCAATAGCAAATAGTTCATGGATGGCGATGAATTAAAAATCTCCCACAAGGTACAAAATAGCTCAGATTTTAGAAAATGGGGCCTCGAGGTAAAGTGAGTAAGTTGGGTTTAATTAGCAGCATGTGGATGCTTTAAATGTACTAATTGCAAACTCATAAAATCCAAACAAAACAAAAGTAAATTTAGTCAGCACAGTCTTTTCTTCTCTAATGAAAAGTTACATTAAAGCGTTATAAAGAGCCAAAGTAATTAAAAATAGGTAGTTTGTCTAGCAAAACCTTATGGTCCTTTAATGCCCAGCTGTTTGAACCCCAATATGTATTCTTGGCAACCGTTTAACTCAAATTTATTTATTTATTTATTTATTTATTTATTTATTTATTTATTTATTTATTTATTTGTTGCAGATACACGTTTATATTTTGACCTGAGCATCTTCTCCAAGATTGTATGCTTGTCTGATTACTTTATTTGTTCATCAGCCTATGTAAATCAATCACAATTCAAGTTTTTTGCTGATCCAGCTTTGTTTACGCTGAGTGTGGACCCGCATTTTAAAGTTATATTTTAATACATCTTGAATCCTATCATTTAACCTGCATCATTTAAGGTTCAGTACAACATATGTTTAATTGCATACTCATCAACATCTTTTTGTGCGTCCTCTGAGATGCTGAACAAAACAAACATGGAGGAGAAATAAAGTCTCATCAGAACATGTCTGTGCTGCAGGGCTGATAGCACAAGTAGGGGTGGTACTGAAAGTCCTGGTACAGAGATCCAGTCGTGGGGAGGTGGACCACTCTGTGATCCTTTGACTCGTTCCTCACCAGCACCTTTACAGCCACAGTCTTCGGTGAGCTCAGCGCAACCAGATCGGCCGCCATCTCCCGCCGTTTCGTTTTATATCTCCGGTTCTGGAACCAGATTTTCACCTGCGTCTCCGTGAGCTTCAGGGCTCCTGCCAGGTCGGCCCGTTCGGGACCGGAGAGGTACCTCTGGGTGCGGAAGCGGCGCTCCAGCTCGTGGACCTGCGCGTGGGAGAAGGCCGCTCTGGAGCGCTTCTTCGCGGCCGGCCTGCACCGATGCGCCTCCGGGGAGCAGCTGAGCGCGTCTCCGCGGTGGTGGCGTCCATCTTTCCCTGCATCCACCTGCTGTTTCTGACCTCTGTTCCGCTCTGCATGATCCGCAGGGTCTGCAAACCAAAAACAAAGGATGATTTAAAAAAAATTACCCAACAAAATTCAAAACTTGGGGGTTTAGTCTAAAGTTAAAAAAAAACTTGTTTCGCCTTTACCATCCTAAAAGTCAGACATTAAATGCTATAAACATGGTCAAGAGATGTAGCTTCATTAATCTCTACGCCTGAACAGAAAAACAAAGTTGATCAAAAGATAAGGGATCGAGAACATTTTTGTAAAATGATTTTATCCACGTATATCTTATTTCCCTAAAACGCTTCCCCCCTCTATTTTTCTTTTACGCGTTTACATTTTCAGCTCAGCGCCATAACAGGAAACAAAACCCTATAAATATTTACAACAAATCTCCCACCTCCTCTGAGATCATCATTTCCTCTGTCCTCCTCCTGGCAGCGATGAGACCGGAGGTCTCCCGAGAACACGCGCGGATCAGGTGGAAGTCTTCTGGGAAGGATGCTGTTATCCCAGCCGGCGCGTAAATGACGCGTTTGCGCGCAAAGCTCCCCCGCAGAGGTGGCCACAGTGCCGGGATCCCCCCGGACATCACGTCCGCCGAGGATGTCTTTGATAGAAAAAGACGAGAACCTTAATGTCATGACTGACAAAAAGAAAACAGGGATTCCTTCACTCTGACATCGGTTTTGCTTGGAGGCATCAGGATAATCCGCGGCTGGGATGAGAAGAATTCTCTGATATATATGTACATATATATTTAATTCTCCGCTTTCTACGTTAATTGTAGCCAACTGGTCCCATAATGAGCTGCCAACATGAGGATCTGTCAAGACTTTGACAAAACTCCCAGTTAAGACTTGACAGGCTGCCTGGTCCCTCCTTCGCACCGCCCAGCTTCACCATGCTCAGCCCGAAAACACTGATAGGATTTTTTTTTGTTTGTTTGAATTAGTTTTCTTCATTGTAAAGCTGATTTTTTTAAATGACTAAAAATCAATTCTGTTGAGCAAAATACACCAATTTATGTCTCAATAAAAATCTAACTTATTTTAAAAAATCCGTGCGTAAAAATAAAAATAACACTACAGCTTATAATAAATAAATGTTTACTCAGCTTATTATTCATTTTACTTTAATGGTTCCAAATTTGCTTTGGTTTATTGTTTATCTCTGGAATAAATTAATTGATTATTTAAAAAGTCGTTTTCAATATGTTGGTTTTTAATGTAAAAAAATAATATTTTACTCTACATTTGTGCCGATTTGGACTGTTTTATTGCAATAACACTTTCATCGTTTAATGGTGAACCTAAAGTTCAGACCAGTGAGAACAGCGCCGCCATGTGGGCAGGGTTAAGGGAGTGAGTCGGTGCGTGCGCTACCAACACCCAAACACGCGTGCGCGCACACACCTACACAATCACACACTCCCTTAATAGACACGTTCCTACACAATCAGTGAGTCTAGTCTTCTTAGGGAGCTGTGATGACAGATGATTTTCTTCTTTCTTTTCTCCCTCTGCTAATCAGAGAAACTTCTGTCTTTCTGCAGCTCAGGGTGTCAAAGCAGGTCTGGAGAGAAAAAAAAAGACTTATGAGTTCTTTTTTTACCCCTCAGTTTAAAATGTGATGTTTCATTCCAGCAATTTTGTTTTTAGCTCGTGACTTAACTTGCAGCAACAAAACTTAGCAGTCTGTTTTTTTTTGTTTGTTTTTTCCCGATTAAATTTTAAAAATATTGTTTGTCTGTTACCAAAATAACTCGTGAACCAGAGAACGTATTTAAATGAAACTTTCAGGAATTACTTTTTAAATATATTTATTCAGCTGATCAACTTTTGGAGACAAAGCTATCCAAGATGGCCACCACAGCTAACCCCGCTTAGGAAACACAAAATGGTTTGTAATTCAATCGGTTTTACATTTATGGTGCTAAGATTTGAAGTGGTTGTTGAGAGTCGTACCCAACGCACTTCAAACACGAGACATTGCGCGAGAGCTTTGGCATTAACTGTTGGTGTCGATTCGAAGCTGTTTGTCTGTTAGTAAAATATTGCGTAAAATGTTGATTCGATTTTATCGAAAATTTACGAGAATGCGCATCACGTGCCCACCTACAGCTGGTTAACGTTTAGAGTCAATCCAATGCAAGATGGCTGCCACGGCCAATCCACTTTACTCAGCGTAAAAATCAATATAACTCAGTCAGTTGTGCAGAAATCGGGCTACAATTTTAGCTGAGAGTCATTCACAATACATATAAGATGTTGCACGAAATTTTGCATAACTTTGTTTATTATTTAAAGCAAAAATAATATTTTTGTTACTTCTCAGATAGTTTACTTTAAAGCACTCAGCGCTGTAATGAAAAGCTGCATGCTTTTATTTTATTTTATTTTATTTTATTTTATTTTATTTTATTTTATTTTACTTTGTAAGGGTAAATTCACATTTTGCCCAGTTTTTAAACAGCAGAAACAAAATTAATATATTTGGCTTTTAAACCAGATCCAATTTATGCTGAACTTGAACCGTTTCGTAGATCGCCACGTTGGGCTGCAGCCTGCAGAACAAATCTTTCCAGAACTTCTTTGAGTGGTTGCCGTTGGAGAGCTTGTTCTGTTTTGGGAACCTCCGCTGACAGTTGCAGCGATGCACCGCCGACCTGCTGCTATCTTTGGAAAGCCGCGCGATAGAGATCGCGCGCGCCTGTCAGGTCGGGCCGGGCCGGCCCGCTGCGTCCTGCAGGCATCGCCGTCCTGTCGCCAGCTCTATTTACACTAGTGACTCTGCAGCACTTAAAGCTGACACCAGGTATGTCCTACCGGTAGCGCAGGAGCCAGAGGAAGTGGCCGCCGAGGCTATCAGAGGAGACAAACACTGTTTACTTTGCCATTCATCTCCATTAATAGCGTCTGAGCGGCCTGCCATGCCTTGTGAAGAGATTTACTTAAGTCCATCTCCAGTGTGTGTGTGCGTGGGTGTGTGTGGGTGTGTGTTAGGGTGTGTGAGTGTTTGTGTGCTGATGTGGGTGGTGTAAGAGTTGTTTAGGATGTCCGACTGCAGACCTACAGCTGTGCGTAAAAATGTGGAAAACACTATAAATAAGCTTAAAGTGTTTGACCTACATTATTATTATTATTATTATTATTATTATTATTATTATTATTATTGTT